TCAAATAAATAAATAAAATCTTAAAAAAAAAAAAAGAGAGGGAACACAAGCAGGGGGAGCCGCAGCAGAGGGAGAGGGAGAAGCAGGACCTGGGATCATGATCTGAGCCGAAGGCAGTCACTTCACCGACTGAGCCACCCAGGCTCCCTAAAGTGTGCCACCACGGGGCCATTCCTGCCCAATCCCGACAGACACCCAACAGGCTAGCATGTGCACATCCTGACTCCATGGAGCCCGGTTCCCCTCTCTCTTCTGACTCCTAATCTGCTTGTTGTCAAACAGCCTCCTTTTGGAATTGGCAGTAGTCTTGGCTCCTCATGGCTGGCTGGCCATGGCCAAAGGCTCACCGGTCCCCCAGCCGCACCCTCCAGACCCCCTGCACACAGCTCGGCACCATCCCAGTCCACTCGCCTCCCCGGGCCAGCACCTGTGTGCTGTGTCCTCCCTCGTCTTGCTGGGGAGCATCCTGCAGGATGCTGAGCTGATTGGTGAAGACCTCGCTGGCCTGAAACATCTTGATTCTTCCTCCCACTCGACTCAGACCTTGGGGTCAGCCATCCCTTTCCCCTGGAACCCAGGCCTTCTTCTTCCTGATCGTTCGGAATATGGCCTGGAAGCACTCGGGAGTCCCAGCTCCACAAACTTGTCTTCCCAGGACAAGCTGCGGGCTCCTGGCTACCCCCTACTATGATTTCTTGAACAACTTCCCTCCATTTCCCCTCTGCTCTCTCTGGGATTCTTGAACTGTTCTTCTGTTTTTTCTCCCTTCTCTCCCAGTTCTCACTTGTCTTTTTGCCTGACTTTCTAGATTTCTCCAACTTGAGTCTTCCAACTTCCTGCTGAAGTTTTAATGCCGGCTACCGTGCTAACTCCCAAGCCCTGTCTCGTTCTGTCTTCCTCCGTCACCTTCCTGTTGGCAGTGTGAGCAGAGCCTGCATGCCCCCCAAGAACGCTGGTGTCTCCAGGGGGCGGCCGGCAGCTGGGGGCAGGGTCCCCCAGGCCACTCTGTCCTTGTTTCTCCTCCATCGGCGGATGCTGCCTCCCCTCCCAAGACCTCCAGAGGGAGGGACATGTGTATGGGGCCTGGGAGCAGAAAGGCACCCAGCTCATCTGAAGACCTCTCCACGGCGACTGATGGGGTCAGGGGGTGCTTTGAGGAACACATATATGTGGCTGCATGACCTCCAGAAGCGCATCCCGGAGCAGACCAGGCTATGTCACCACCAAATTATTTTCCCTTCGCTCGGCTCGGATGCCCTATCCTCCAGTTTTGACTTCTCCCTACCCCAGCTCCCTCCTGAGCCCCCTTCTCAGCGCTTACCCCCTGCTCCCTTTTGTTTCTCCCTCTCCTTCCTCCAGCTCACCCAAAGTGCAGCCCACCTGCCTCCGCCCTGGCTGGGGCCCCAGGAAGGGGGATCAGCATGCACCAAGGCCTGGCCCTGACAAAAGGCAGTGATGGTGAGTGCTGGGGGTGGTGCGAAGGGGGGACCTGAGGCTGGCCAGCTGGGCCTGGAGCACCAGTGGACATTTCTGTGGGGGAGATGGGGACAAGGCCTGTGGCCGGGTAACAAGGAGGGTGTGCCGGGATGTGTCCAGAAAGCACAGCGGATCTGCAGGTCCCTCCAGGTCCTCTGGGAACTTGGTCCCATGGGGAGGGAACAAGACATAAGTTATTATGAAGTAATTAAGACTCACGAGTGTTCAAGTGCACAAAAGAGAAGTCTGGGACCCTGAGAGAGGATCTTGGGCTGGATGTGACTTGGGGGGTCAGGAAAGACATTTTAGGCAGCGGCAACAAGGCAGGGAGGCGGGAGGGCCCTAATCAGAGGCACCTGTCAGGGCAGCCTGAGCGGGTGGGGAAAACTCACAGGAGGCTCAGGCGCCACATGGGGCAGGGGATGGGGTTCCCCGGTCAGGGGGAGAGGGGCTGGCAGGCAGAAGGGGCAGGCCGCTCACACACCCACCTAGGCAGCTGGCGTCCTCCGCCCCAGGTCCCCCAGCCAGTAAGGAACCCGGGCCGGGGTCCGCTGGGAGACAGGGGCAGACGTACCGGCTGAGGTCCAGCCTGCTCCCAGCCCATGCATCGTGTGAGAGCTCCTTCCCCCACCGCGGAGAACAGAAGACCCCGAACGGCAGCTGCAGGGAGGGCCGCTGGGGCAGGGTGGCTCTGGAGGTGGAGACGCAGGGCAGGGCGCCCGGCGCCCCGGGACCAACAGGGTCCTCTGGCCGGCGGAAACCAGCCCAAGCCGGGAAGCTCCTCCGCCCACGTGGCCGAAGCTCGGGCTCGGGCAGCCCCCACCCCAGGGCGCCCACC